CCTGCCCTCTTCTGGGAGCTCCCTGCCCTCTTCTGGGAGCTCCCTGCGGTCCAGGATAAAACAGAGATCAGGTCAGGCTTCCTGGTGAAGGTGTCACCTGAGCAGGCCTACAAGGCAGAGTAGATTCTCAGAGGTAAACTTCTGAAGAGGAGTTTTGGGACTGGCCCCTGAGGGCAGACAGGTTAAGAATGCTGTATTTCATCCTCTCAGCTACAGAAACCCCACTGAAAGTTTTGTAGCAGGGGAGAGGGCTGGGACCAAAGATGGGCCTTCGAAAGGTTATCTGAGCAGCTGAGAGGGAGCAGCAGGGAAACTGGAATCAGGGTGACCACTGCCAATGGTGGGCACCCACAGAAAAGAGTCGTCTGGCCATGACCACAGGCTGCCTCATTTTGCAGAGAAGAAAGCTGAGTCGACCCAGGTAATGAGCGGCAAACTCTGGAGATGCCAGTGCTGGGCTCTTTTTCAGTTGTGCCAGGTGAAGAGGAGGGACAAGGGCATTTTGGGGGCAGGAGAAGAGTGAGAGCACAGGCTGACATGAAGGAGGCCAGCCTGGTAGGGGAGAGGCGCCCAGTGGGATAGCAGGCCAGAAAGGGGGGAGGGGCAGGCAAAATGGGACAGGCCTTGACTACCAGTACAAGGACTGGAACAGTGTAATGAGCTTCTCAAATTGAGGGCACATGATGAAATTAATACTTAAAGTTGAATCTGCTTCCCAGACCAGGATGGGAACAAGCATCCCCAGCCCGCCTGCCCCCCCCCCCCCCCTATCAGGAACAACAAATCTGGCCAGATGGAAGCAACTGGGCTGAGAGCCTGGGAACTTCAGAAGGTTTTGTTTTGGTTTGGTTTTTTTGCTTGACTGTGAGCCTGCCAAACGTCTGTCTGAAAAGTACCCAGCTCCCGCCCCTCTGTTTGTCAGGGCTCAGCCTGAAAAAGTAGGCTTTCCAAAGGCAGGAAGCTAGAGAAGGGAAGGGGCTACGGGGGCTCCTTCCCAGGGTGAGGGGAAATGAGGAGGCACCTGGGGCCACAGGCTGAGCCCTGGACAGTGGGTGGGAGACACCAAGTACCTTGAGAACCCTTTGTACTGCCAGATGGCCCAGCTCTTAGGAAACAGCTGACCAAGCTTCACCTCCCCTACACTCTCCCTCCCTTCTGAGGCTTGGGGCCAGTACCGCTGTTTACTAGGAAGAAGCCAAAGGTTAAGCATGAAAGAGTAAGGATGGAGAAAAGGAAGGACTCCAGGAGAGGGAACTTGAACAGCAAATCCGAGGGCATGTGATGGGATGAAGGCCAGTCTTGGCCCACATCCCTCTCCACAGGAAGAGGCACTGCCAGGCCTCCCCAAACTTCAGTGCCTACCTCAGATGAGTGCCCCAAGCATGTCCAGGGTGGAAGCAAAATAATGCTTCCAAAGCACTGCCTGGATGCTGATAAGGCACCAGGGCTGGTCTGTGAACCCTAGATAGAGGCTGCCAGCCTGGGACTTTAAGGCAGACTTTGTCCTCTGCCTCGTTAGTTACAAATAGGAGAAAAGGTCAAGAAGACACAATCCCTGCCCTCATAGAGTTTGCCCTCTACTAAGGGGATGTGACATGTCTTCAACTAACTATATAATAAGGCAGAAGCATCTTGAAGACCTCCTTTTTAAGACCTTTCCCCCGTCTCTGAAACCTAACCTCTTTCGAAAGGGTGTGTGGAAGATTAGCCTTCCAACCCCAATGGATCAAGATGGTAACCAAATCTAGAACAAGAAACCCTTCCAATCTAGTTAAGATCACTGCTGGAGGCTAATATTTTGAAGACTCTAGACCCACAAAAAGGCAGTGTATCTAAAGTAATTGTTGTTTGCGCTTCTTTTTCAAGGAGGACCAATGACATTACTGAGTGATGTCCTGCCTCCTTTGTGAATTAGATTTAAGTGAGGTAGAGTTGGAGAAAGCCATCAACCTCACTCTCCCAGAATCATCAAAGTCCAGTGGCAAGATAAAAGCCAGGACAAACAGTGATGGCCCAGGATGACCTCGGTGGACGGGCGTCTGGGATGTCTGACCAGCCTCTAAGCACTCCACTTAACCTTCTTCATGGTCATTGAAACAAGCTGTTCTCATGCGCCCATTCCACCCAGGGAGTCTTCACCTGCATAGGGTAGATACTGGCCTAACTCATGGCCTGTGGTTACCCCCATGTTTTGTGCCTGAGGGCACGAGGAGGCTCTACGGCTTCTCTATTTCTCTCAAGCACACAACAATAAAGAATAAAAACTGTTTCGGGCAGACGTGTGCCTAACGGGTTAAGATGTTTTCTTCAGTGTTACAGAACAGAAACTGCTAAGTCCACAGGAAAGGTACTAAGATCCCTTCTTCATACAAGTGTCATCTTTTAAGCTTCGTCTTGAAGAAGGCAGCAGTGGGAATTACTCTAAGAAGTCAGGCTTACAGAGTAGCACTTGAAGGTTACAGAGTGTTTGAAACACAGACTCAACTGTTGCATTAGTCACAAGAGTTAAGACTGGATGAGATCCAGTACCCACCCCGCCCCAGGCCGTGGAGGCAGCCCATTTCCGTGATGGAGAATTCCAACTCTGTGGTTTCGTAAGGACAGCAGTTAGAAAAGAAACACAACTGGCCCATTATACAGACACACTAACCTCAAAACTCCTCAGAGCTTGATTTAAGAAGAGCTCAGCCAAACAAGAAGGCTCTGATGGAAGGGGAAGTGGGCGTTCGAGAGTCTCCCAATTCTCCTGCAGAGCTGCCAGGATTCCCCACCCCAAAAATGCTGGGCCAGGAGCAAAGAAACCATCTGAGGGTCGTTTCTTCATCAGGAAGTTTTTTCCTGACATCAGTCCGAGATTGTCCTCTTTACAACTTCTATCCGCTGCTCCTGGCAGTGCTATACCTCTGGGACCAAAGGGACCAGTGTAAGACCATGTGTAATCCACCTAGAAGATGCCAAGCCCCCCAGGACTGTTAGACATCAATGATGCAAGACAACGAGCTGGGCGCTTCCACCCTCCTCATCCTCCTGGGCTAGTGACACTGACTCCCATTCCCTTTGGCTTTGGCGACGCTGCTCTCCCCTGGTTCTCCTCCTAATTCTTGAAATCTCGTTCTGTTTCCACCGCTGGATCATTCCACATGCCAGTGGGGCATGGCAAATAACCTGGGTTCTAATCCTGCCTTAGACACTGACTATGTGACCAGAGGCTTCTCTAGCCTTCAGTTTCTTCCTTTACTGTAAAATGAGGGTTGACCTCAAGGATCTCCAACAAGGCTGCTGACAACTTTACATCTGTGGCTGCCTCCTACACATGGGCCAAGCCCTGAAATCTGTCCTGGGCCTCTTCTCTTCCAAGTCACTCACGGTGGCTGCAAGGGTTTCACATGTATTCTAGGGTTTCCATGTATTCAACTATCTTGTCTACACAGATGACTCCTAGGTCCACATACCCAGCCCTCTCTCTCCAGAGCTCTGGTCCTGCTACTCCAATTGTCTGCTGGCCCTCTCCAGCTGGACGTCCTATAAGCGGCTCAAATTCAACATGCCCCAAGCAGAATTCACTCTTTCCCCCCAAAACTGAACCCTGCTCCTACCTTCCTTATTTATCTCCCAGGCACCCTGTCATTCCAGTCACCCCAGTTACCCCAGCTCACAATCTCTGCGTCATCCTTGATTCTTCACCTCTAAACACTGCCAATCAGTCATTAATCTCCAAAAGATCTTTCACATCCAGCCCTGCATATCCGCATATCCAATCTGGCATTACTCTGACTCAGACCCTTGTTATCTTTCCCTGGGACTCTAGAAATACCCTCCTAATTGGCCCTCCAGGCTCTCTCCTCCCCTCCCCATGCCATCCTCCACAAACTGACAAAATAAAGGGCCTCCAAGACATCTTAACATCTCATGCCCTGCTGAAGTAGATTCCATGGCTCTTCTAATATAAAATACAAAATCATTATCCCAGCATGTCAAATCTATCTTTCCAGATCTATCTTCTGTCATTCCACTTCATGGACTTTATGCTCCACATGTCACAATGGTTAGCCTTGCGGTCTGCCTATGCTTTATACTGGCTGTGCCCATACCTGGTATACCCTCAGCTCAGGTGCTACTTTCTACCTGTCGTCTTTCCTAATCCTCCTGGTTGCTGGTATTCAGCCCCTCCTG